CTTCATGATTCCTAGCCAGCAGCCTTCTCTAGCAGACATCCTGCCTGCCCTGCCTCTGCCTGGGCGGCAGGGAACATGTGGTTTTTAAACAGTTACAAGCCTGAGAGGAGGGGAGGAAGGTGCTTCGCAAGCTGCCTGTTGACAGTAGGATTTCCCATGGGCAGGAAATCAACGAATGGAATTGTGCTGCAGGCAGAAGCCACCTGGCCTCCCCTGGGCTCACAGCTGTTCAAACAGAGCCCTACAAGGCTTTTTTAGCAGCATGTGGGGTGGGTGGGGCAGGCAGAAAGTCTGCATGAGGCTCCCCGCGTGTATGTGGGCTGGATCTGGAGGCTTCATGGGCTGGATTCGGCCTGAGGAGGGTATTTTGCCCTGGCCTGCACTAGTGCCTTGTACATTTGTAATATTTTCCTATCTCTACTGGAAATACAACAATTAATGCACTAGCCTCTCTCATAGTAGCATCACATTAATGGGTCATAGTCATCTTGTGATCAATTAACATAGCCTTCTTCTGCCATTTCCAAATGATATGTCCCCAGCTTATAGAAAAAAAATACTGCAATTTTCAAGGTCATCCAAGTCATCCAAGTCTTACTTGTACTACTAATATCACCCGAATTTTTGTCATTCATGAATTTTCTTTGCATAATCCCCCTTTTTATGCCAAAGACATTTATGAAAAAGTTAAATAAATCTAGTCCCAAGATTTATATTTGAGGAACTACACTAATAATCTCCTCCTAGATTGAGAGTTCACTTTTCATCATGAGCAGCACGGATGTTGTCTTACCCATGTTTTAATTCTTGTATTAATATGGTTTAACTAATACTTTTCCATGAGGAACTATGTCAAATGCTTAATTGAAATCCAGGTAGATTAGATCTACTGCATTTCCTTAGTTCACAAACTTGGTTTATCTTCTCACAGCATGAAATCAGGTTGATCTGCCACAATTTACCCTCTATACAACCATGTTGTATTACATTTCAATTACTGTTTACCTCTAAGGGTGCATCTACACAGCACCCTAAATTTGAAAAAAGATACTCAATTTGCGCTATGCAAATTGCATATCTTATTTTGAAATAACATTCCATCCCTTAACCCTCGGGCAATGAGGTCTACCAGGATGGCGAAATAGCACGCACATTATTTCTAAATAATAGGCGGCTTGTGTAGATGCAGGGTAGCTATTTTGGGATATCTCTGGTATCCTGAAATCGCTGTGCAATGTGGATGTACCTTTAGTCTCAGAAGGGTAGCCACGTTAGTCTGTATCTGCATAAACAATGAGGAGATCTGTGGCACCTTAAAGACTAACAGATTTATTTGGGCATGAGCTTTCATTGATAAAAAATATCTGACAAAGTAGGATTTTACCCATGAAAGTTCATGCCCAAATAAATCTCTTAGGGTATGTCTACACATCAAAGTTAATTCGAAATAACAGCGTCTACACAGCCAAACTGCTATTTTGAAATTAATTTGAAATAGCAGAGTGCTTATTTTGAATTTGGTAAACCTCATTCTATGAGGAATAACGCCAAATTCGAAATAGTTAATTCGAAATAAGCACTATGCAGCTGCTTATTTCAAAATAGGGGACCTCCAGTCCTTCCCAGTTTCCCCTGACGGTCACTCTGGGCCAAACCAGGAAAACTCCTCTCCTCTCCCCCAGCCCCGGAGCCCTTAAAGGGGTAGACTCTGGTCACACTGCACGTGCCAGATCCAGGCCTGCCAGAAGTTGCTGCCCCTGACTCAGTGGCCCCACAATCATAGAATCATAGGACTGGAAGGGACCTCGAGAGGTCATTGAGTCCAGCCCCCCGCCCTCAAGGCAGGACCAAGCTCTGTCTACACCATCCCTGACAGATGTCTATCTAACCTGTTCTTAAATATCTCCAGAGAGGGAGATTCCACCACCTCCCTTGGCAATTTATTCCAATATTTGACCACCCTGACAGTTAGGAATTTTTTCCTAATGTCCAATCTAAACCTCCCCTGCTGCACTTTAAGCCCATTACTCCATGTCCTGTCCTCAGAAACCAAGAGGAACAAATTTTCACCTTCCTCCTTGTGACACCCTTTTAGATATTTGAAAACCACTATCATGTCCCCCCTTAATCTTCTTTTTTCCAAACTAAACAAGCCCAGTTCATGAAGCCTGGCTTCATAGGCTTCTCTAGACCTTTAATCATTCTTGTCACTCTTCTCTGTACCCTTTCCAATTTCTCCACATCTTTCTTGAAATGTGGCGCCCAGAACTGGACACAGTACTCCAGCTGAGGCCTAACTAGTGCAGAATAGAGCGGCAGAATGACTTCACGAGTTTTGCTTACAACACACCTGTTAATACAACCTAGAATCATATTTGCTTTTTTGGCAACAGCATCACACTGTTGACTCATATTCAACTTGTGGTCCACTATGACCCCTAGATCCCTTTCCGCCATGCTCCTTCCTAGACAGTCGCTTCCCATCTTGTATGTATGGAACTGATTGTTCCTTCCTAAGTGGAGCACTCTGCATTTCTCCTTATTAAACCTCATCCTGTTTACCTCCGACCATTTCTCTAACTTGCTAAGGTCATTTTGAATTATGTCCCTATCCTCCAAAGAAGTTGCAACCCCACCCAGTTTGGTATCATCTGCAAACTTAATAAGAGTACTCTCTATCCCAATATCTACATCATTGATGAAGATATTGAACAGTACGGGTCCCAAAACAGACCCTTGAGGAACTCCACTTGTTATCCCTTTCCAGCAGGATTTAGAACCGTTAACAACAACTCTCTGACTACGGTTATCCAGCCAATTATGCACCCACCTTATCGTGGCCCTATCTAAGTTATATTTGCCTAGTTTATCAATAAGAATATCATGCGAGACCGTATCAAATGCCTTACTAAAGTCTAGGTATATGACATCCACCGCTTCTCCCTTATCCACAAGGCTCGTTATCTTATCAAAGAAAGCTATCAGATTAGTTTGGCATGACTTGTTCTTCACAAACCCATGCTGGCTATTCCCTATCACTTTATTACCTTCCAAGTGTTTGCATATGATTTCCTTAATTACCTGCTCCATTATCTTCCCTGGGACAGACGTTAAACTGACCGGTCTATAATTTCCTGGGTTGTTCTTATTCCCCTTTTTATAGATGGGCACAATATTTGCCCTTTTCCAGTCTTCTGGAATCTCCCCTGTCTGCCATGATTTTTCAAAGATCATAGCTAAAGGCTCAGATACCTCCTCTATCAGCTCCTTGAGTATCCTGGGATGCATTTCATCAGGACCTGGTGACTTGCTGACATCTAACTTTCCTAAGTGATTTTTAACTTGTTCTTTGTGTATCCTATCTTCTAAACTTACCCTCTCTCTGCTTGTATTCACTACGTTAGGCACACCTCCAGACTTCTCGGTGAAGACCGAAACAAAGAAGTCATTGAGCATCTCCGCCATTTCCAAGTTCCCTGTTACTGCTTCTCCCTCCTCACTAAGCAGTGGGCCTACCCTGTCCTTGGTCTTCCTCTTGCTTTTAATGTATTTATAAAAGGTCTTCTTGTTTCCCTTTATGCCTGTAGCTAGTTTGATCTCATTTTGTGCCTTTGCCTTTCTAATCTTGCCCCTGCATTCCCGTGTTGCTTGCCTATATTCATCCTTTGTTATTTGTCCTAGTTTCCATTTTTTATATGACTCCCAGTCCCCGAGCTCCCAGCAGCCAGCCAGGGGCCGGAGATGGCGGGTGCCTTCATAGACTAGTGCGGAGATCATGGACCTCACTGAGGTTTGGGGGGAGGCCTCCAATGTCCATGACCTCCGCACTAGATGGAGGAATGCAGCTGCCTACAGCCAGATAGCTGCCACCATGGCCACAAAAGGGCACATGCGCACCCAGGAGCAGGTGCCCATGAAAATAAAAGATTTATGGCAGGCGTATGCCAAAGCCACATGGGGCAGCTCCCCAACAGGGGCAAGACATCTGCCCCTATTTTGGTGACCTGGACCGCATCCTGGGGGGCGGGATAGTCCATGGCACCCTGGGCGGCACCGATCTGGGAGCAGAGGGCCCTGACCAGGGCGTGGAGGAGGAGCTGCAGGAGACTAGAGGGTGCCACGCCACCTGGACCCCCAAGCTGTCCCAGCGGCAGAGTCACCAGGGTCATCCGGGCAGGCCACAACATGAGTGCCATCACTATCCCCTTACTGGGGGGATGGCAGGGGTGGGGAAGGAGACTAGGGACTGCGCGCATGGGCCTTGCTTTCCATGGATCACGCAGCAACCTGTGAATGTATGAGCACATGCCATGCCACTCCTGGGCAGGTGACTCCAGCTGGCTGCCACACAGGGGCATTGGCCTGATAGCCACACACGTGCGTGAAGAGACATGACATGCTCCTGACCCCGGAGTGGGACACAGCAGGACGCCATCCTTTCACAAGCCCCCCTCTACACAGAGGGGACATCTCCCCCCTACCTCGGCCACACTATATACAACACAGGGGTATGGGTGCGGTCTCGGGGCAGCTCCCACTCCCGGGGATAGAAGGACTATCCGAACATCGGCTCTGACGGTGTGGGGCATGGCCATCCTCACCTCGCACGGAGGGCTGGGTTTCACCCACTGAGTCCCCAGGGAGAACGGACCACTTCTCTTGTTTCTCTCAGTGTGGACATGGTATTTCAAAATAGCAAACTGCTATTTTGAAATGCATTTTGTGTGTAGACGCGTTATTTCAAAATATCTTATTTCCAATTAACTAGTTTGAATTTAGATATTTCAAAATAATGCTGTAGTGTAGACATACCTTTAGTCTTTAAGGTGCCAAAGGACTCCTCATTGTGTTTATGTCTAAGTCTTTAATTACTCTGTCTTTCAAAACTTGTTTTAAGATCCTACATACAACTAACAGGCTGTCATTTCATGGATCATCTTTTTCTTTTCTCCAATCATAGGTTACAACCCCAACTTTATGGATTCATTAAAAATTCTTACTATAGGGCTTACAACTTCTACCAGTTCCTTTAATATTCTTGGCTGGAGATTACCTATGCCCCTCAATTTGGCCACATTATGCTGCTTAAATTTGTTTTCCACCTTGGATGTGGTGATTTCTACTTCCATATCCTCAATCCCAATTGTTACTCTGCCACTGCCTCCAAGCGCCTTAATACTCTACTAAAAAAACGAAGCAAATAATTCACTTAGGTGCAAGGCCCTGCCTAGATTATTTTTAATCTCCACCCTGTCCTCCGTGCTGAGAAGTTACACATCTTCTTGCCTTGTTTTCTTTTTATCAATATAGCTAAGGAATCTTTTAATCTTGAGTTTAATTTCCTATGCAAGGTCCAGTTATGGTTTGCTTTTGGCAGTTCTTACTTTTTTATAGCTTTCATTGCTGATCCAGCTATACTTCCAGCTCTTAGTAACCTGTAAAATGTTTTCTCTTAATAACCCATTTGTTTATTCTAGTGTATTAACTGTGCATCCCTATTAATTTATTTGCCAACCTCATGATTTTGAGGGAAACTGAATGCCTGGGAAGTTCTCATAACTCTGGGTAAACGAACACACTGAGATGAAAACTGTCTTCTTGTCATCCTCTATTCATTGTTCAACTATTAGAAAGCGCTACATATCTCCATAGGAATAGAAAAATAGGGCTTACAAATCAAATACCTGCAGCTTGATATATTTCTCCCCCCCGAAATCTATACTTATTACTTGGAAGAAGGGATAGTTCTGGGGATTCTATTGTGCAAGGAAAAATCAGAAGATGTCTAGAGCCCTGCACAGATACAAAATGTGTATCTATATCTGCATCTGTAGCCACAAAATATGCAGTGGATGCAGGTAACTGTGAATATAAAGCTGATATTTGCAAATTTGCAGAGCTCTAGATACAAAATTTGTATCTTCATCCACATCCGTAACTACAAACATGAGCTGCAGATATCCACATCCATGGATGTGGATATCTGCAGCTCATGTTTGTAGTTACGGATGTGGATGAAGATACAAATTTTGTATCTAGAGCTCTGCAAATTTGCAAATATCAGCTTTATATTCACAGTTACCTGCATCCACTGCATATTTTGTGGCTACAGATGCAGATATAGATACACATTTTGTATCTGTGCAGGGCTCTAGACATCTTCTGATTTTTCCTTGCACAATAGAATCCCCAGAACTATCCCTTCTTCCAAGTAATAAGTATAGATTTCGGGGGGGAGAAATATATCAAGCTGCAGGTATTTGATTTGTAAGCCCTATTTTTCTATTCCTATGGAGATATGTAGCGCTTTCTAATAGTTGAACAATGAATAGAGGATGACAAGAAGACAGTTTTCATCTCAGTGTGTTCGTTTACCCAGAGTTATGAGAACTTCCCAGGCATTCAGTTTCCCTCAAAATCATGAGGTTGGCAAATAAATTAATAGGGATGCACAGTTAATACACTAGAATAAACAAATGGGTTTTGTCTCTGTGATCCCTAGCCTAGAATAGCAAAAAGGAGTCCTGTGGCACCTTATAGACTAACAGACGTATTGGAGCATAAGCTTTCGTGGATCTTTGCTGACGAAGTGGGTCTTTGCCCACGAAAGCTTATGCTCCAATGTATCTATTAGTCTATACTGGGGATTCTATTGTGCAAGGAAAAATCAGAAGATGTCTAGAGCCCTGCACAGATACAAAATGTGTATCTATATCTGCATCTGTAGCCACAAAATATGCAGTGGATGCAGGTAACTGTGAATATAAAGCTGATATTTGCAAATTTGCAGAGCTCTAGATACAAAATTTGTATCTTCATCCACATCCGTAACTACAAACATGAGCTGCAGATATCCACATCCATGGATGTGGATATCTGTGTGTATGAAGTGGATATGCACACACTTTCAGGGCTTTACAGGTGTCTGCTACATCCCTTGCACAGTTATTAAAAGTGTACTGCCCTGGAAGACTCATGTGCCATCAGACAAAAGTGACACCCCATCCCAAAATGCAGCAGACAGTCATACAATACTGTGCTATGAAGAGAAAGTAGAGGAGTGGGGATAAAGGAAGGTGGATGCAGGGGATTGAAAGCTCTTGTAACTTAAAATGTTATTTCCATTCATGTGTGTCTGATTTTTTTAAAGACTTACTAAACAATCTACTTCAATAAGTTAAAACTGTTCACTTCCCGTGAAAGTATTAACAGTTCTTTCTTATGATAAATATTGGCTACAAAGAAAAACATGATTGTGACATTTCTTGTAAGCTGCAATTTTTTAAAAAAGATTTCAAATTATTTTAAAGCTGAATGTTAAAAGACTGCTTAAGGGAACACAATTTTACACTATTTCTGGGAAAAAAAAAACCTTCTATACAGTTCAATGTTTTGTCTCTGTGATCCCTAGCCTAGAATAGCAAAAAGGAGTCCTGTGGCACCTTATAGACTAACAGACGTATTGGAGCATAAGCTTTCGTGGATCTTTGCTGACGAAGTGGGTCTTTGCCCACGAAAGCTTATGCTCCAATGTATCTATTAGTCTATAAGGTGCCACAGGACTCCTTGTCACTTTTGCAGATCCAGACTAACACTGCTACCCCTCTGATACTGGCCTAGAATGTTAGCCAAATAGCGTCAAGCCTTGATTTAATTCTGAATATTAAACATAACACTTTATTAATTTGCACTTCAGTTACACAACTATAAAAGGCTGCAATGTGGTTAGATAGGTGAATTCCTTCAAATATATCCGACATACAAAGTAACTGCCAGATGAACTTTCTCAAGCTGGGAAACAGCATGGTTTAAATGCAAAACTGCCTCTCAGAACCCCTTTCAAGTCATTAAACTGCTTGTGAAATCCAGTGACTCATGAACAATCTTTCTGCCCTTTCAGAAGTTTTCTATGTGATTTAACACTTACAACCATCACTTTGCTGCAACAATACAATAAATTAGAAACAACTCAGCATAGGTGGCACCGTGCGAAAGCCTGAAGTGAGGTCTGCAGCTGAAAAACCCAAAGAGTTACATATGTTAGAGAACACTGCAGGATAAATGTCAAGGTGCACCATGATGAAAGGATAATGTAAGACTTTAAAAGGACGATAAAAGGAGTTCAAAGCTGAGCCAATTAATTTAAAATATCCAAAGTCAAGCATTTTCACTTATTCTGCAAACTATGTTAAATCACACACTCACTTCCTTCTGCCCAATATGGTCTCTGTCCTCAATCTTTATTCTTTTATATCTATTATACTTTCATAGCCATTATAGAGTACAAACCATTTAAGAAAGGGCCTGATTTATACTGAAAGAAGCAAGGACATTTTGATCAGTATGCCACTTGGCACATTTTCCATGGAATGTTAGATAATATAATTACTAGGCATTACAGTATCAATTAAGGACTGAGAACTATTTTGTTTAAAGTTAGGCAATCAGTACTATTTTTACTTACTTCTTTAAGAAAAGATAATTCTATGTAACAGTTCATATACATGAATGTGTTTACATACTCAAGCAAATTTTTCTCTCATTTACACCCAGGCAATTTTAACAGTCAATTGGCATTTCACCAATATAGCTGAAAGCAGAATTTGTCTCCTGATGCACATACTGTATTAGACCAAACAATTTAGGACTGTACCACAAACAGTAGGTATAAATATAGTTAAATAATTGTTTTTATGAACACACTCAGATTTCTTTGAAATACAGAATTATTTCATACATCGTCATACAAAGACCTCAACTGTGTGGTTTTGAGTAATATTTGTACAGCTAGACAAATTATAGTCCTTTCCTACTTCCAAACAAGAGCTAATGTTATAATGTCTCATAGTGTAATTTCCTTAACATGCAATAGGATTGTTACAAAATCCTGGCTACATATAATAAATTTTGATACACAGAAATTACAAAACACACAGTGTGCATATATACACACAGTTATCAAGATTTTCAAAAGTGACTAATGACATTGCATATCTCTATTTTTGGTGCTCAACATGAGGAACCTTAATAGCAGCTTGATTTTAAGAAAGAGGGTGGTCAGTGTTTTCTAAAAATCAGACTCTTAAGGTGGTTCAAGTTGGCTACCCAAAAGCCAAAGCAATGAAAATCCCTAGAACATCTGAAAAATTTAGCAAATTCCCTCCCCCCCCCCCCCTTTATAAAAAATGTTCATATACAATCAGTTGTCCAAGAGCTTACCAGCATCTGCTCCACCTCTTTTGTACTAAGACTTTGATGGAAAAGCAGTGGCCCACCTATTTCCCACAAACCACTGCAGAGGAGAGCAGTTGCACATCTGAATACCACACCAGCACTTTGTGCCAGTAGGGCTCCCTTCCAAAAAGAGGAAATATTAATAACAACAATAACCATAATTGGTTCATGGAATCCATGATTCCAAGGACCCTGTGACAAATATAGTATGAGAAAAGAATTAGACCACTATAGAACACTATAAAAGCAACTTGGGACTCATGGAATGAATGTGGGAGGAAAAAAGATCACCATCTGTGATGTAAAATAATGGATTACCCTATTTTATTACACAGAATAATAGAATCATGGGACTGAAAGAGACCTCAGGAGGTCATCAAGTCCAGCCCCCTACCCAAAGCAGGACCAATCCCAACTAAATCAACCCAGCCAGGTGTTTGTCAAGCCAAGATTTAAAACCCTCCAGTCATGGAGATTCTACCACCTTCTTAAAAATCTCCACAACTCCTCTTGGAAGCCTAGTGCAGAGCTTAACTAGTCCTATCATTTAAAAAGTTTTTCCTCCTTATACAGTAGAACCTCAGGAATGGAGGCTGCTCATAACTCTAAACAAAACATTATAGCTCTTTCAAAAGGTTACAACCAAACATTGACTTAATACAGAAACATTGACTTATGCAGAAAAAAATGCTTTCCTTTTTTATTTAAGTTTTTTTTTTTTAATTTTTACATTTAACACAATACTATACTATTCTTTCTCTTGGTTTGGTCTCTGTTGCTGTCAGATTGCATACTTCTGCTTCCAAATGAGGTATGTGGTTGAGCAAACAGTTCATAATTCTGGTGTTCGTAACTCTGAGATTCTTACTGTATCTAACTTAAATCTCCCTTGCTG